TTTTATTTTTTATTTATTTATTTTTTTTGCAAGGCGTGTCGTCAGCTGACCAATCGTCATCCAAGATTTCATCTTGAAAAATTGTGTAGGCCTATATGTCAGTTTGGTAACTAAAGGGACAAAAAAAAGTGTTAACCTCTGCTCTAACTTGTCTACTAAACTTGGCATTGTATACTGTGTTTTGTTGGCTCTAGGACAAATTCTTTCATTTGTAAGTCGCTTGGGGTAAAAGTGTCTGCTAAATGAATAAATTTGAATTGAGACTTGTGGGTTCGCTTAGAAGGAATACATAATTGATCACTCAAACCAGGTGTGAAAACACGCAAATTCATTGGACATTAGAAATGCATAGTACAGTATAAAGGGTGTGGCTTTCTGTTGCATGAATGCTGATATGAACTAAAATGAATCCAGGCATATGCTGCAATTCCACGTGCCAACCTAGTTTCTTCCCTCAACCCAATTTAAGTGCTAATTCAGAGCCCAGTCAGCGAGAACCTGGCAGACCGACAATACAGCATAGCCAGTCAGATGCATTAGCACGTATTTGCCTGCGTTGCATCAAAAGCATTTGTATTGTAGCTCTGTCTCCAACACTGTCTGTCTCTCCTGCTACTGCCCTGCGTTAAATCCCTCTGCTAGATGGAGGGACATTATTACAAATCAGCCTGGCTGTACGCCCAAGTTAAGACGACAAGGGCTTCCATTTAGGAGCCTATTTGCATCTCCACCCTGCTGAACGATACTACAAAATGTTTATTTATCTGCATTTGTTTCCATCGCCGCATCTCTTCCTTTCACCTGTCATCGCAGCTCGTGTTTGTACAGCACATAAATCTCGAAATGTTCCTCTAATTTTTTTAAACCTTTCTTCAGAAACCTCTTGCAGTTATACCTTAGGAAGGTTCCTAATTGTAGTGCTTTGTAATAATTGACAGTGTTGTTTCTGCAGTACCATAAAGAGAGGAAGTGAGAGGCAGCAGCTGTTTTTGGGTAGCCCAGGGCTTGTCACTCATGTCTGCGTATCTCAGGGCTTTCGGACGCCATTCCTCGGCACCCCGTCTGAAGTCAATCATATCAGTCAGCACCCTGTTCTCCTCTCTGGCACAGGCATATGTCAGCAAACAACAAAGTCAGAAGACAAAGATGAAGAAGGGTCTTTTGGGACTTCCTGTCTCTCATTGTTTTTGATTCTGTCCTCTTTCCTTTCATCTGTTAGTTTATCTGTGATGCAACTTCCTTTTTATTTCCCCAGATGAACCTTTTGGTGCTGAGAGGTTGTGCTTTCATAACTTAGGAGACATAATGGAGTTCTCATTTGTTTTTCTTTGAAGAATCAGCTTTGTCTAAGATTATTTCTAGAAATAGACACAAATAAGACAATTGTTACAGAATAGTATAGAACTATATGGTTAATATGGATGGCAAGCTTAGATAATTTGGTCTAAAAAGTTTGCTGAGAAATATTTGAGGTGGTATTGAAACTAGGCATGTCCCGATCAGGTTTTTTGTGCCCCTGATGATCCGATCTGAGTCATGTAATATTGAGTATCTGCCGATACCGAGTCCCGATCCGATACTTGTATATTCCTATATAGGAATGCATGTTTGGTGCGCACTTAAAGTACTTTAAAGTTATTAAAATCAATTCAATGCTTACAGAGTTGTGCAGAGAGTAAAATAAATATATGTATGATGCATGTTTATATATATATTACAAGATACACTCTCTCTCTCTCTCTCTCTCTCTCTCTCTCTATGTATATATGCACACAGTATACTAACATTGGTAGATGCAAACATGTTACAATGGTAGACAATGTAAAGAAACTTTGTGATCACAATTATGAATATGTGACTACTGATATAAACTTGCATTTTATATGTACAGTGGCAAAAAAAATTACAAAAACGACAAGTAATATTGAATTAAATATAAAACTTAAATAGACTGAAATAGTACTTTCTTGTAAAATGGGCTCCAATAATCTGTGGTTTAATTACAATTTCAAAAAATCTTTTTTATTTATTTATTTTTTTTTTACAATGTAGCAGAAGCCTTTTTCTCCATTGAGCAACAATTGAGATTAGTTGTGATTTTACTTGTGCATACCTAATGGTAGTATGCTTTTGTATCTTTGCTTTGTCTGAGCTACAGCTGTAGAGGTTTTTATTAGCTTTTCTGATAGCACAGTAAATGTAGATTGTAGTGTTGTCAAAAGACCCGGTATTTCGGTACCAAGTCGGTACTAAAAAAATGAAAACGTTACGGTACCAGGTTTTCTTAAGTACCTGTGGTACCGAGTACCCGGTCAACCCGGTTCTTGATGCGCTATCCGAAAGCTTCTAATGGATATTTTTAGTTTTTTGTTGTCATAATAGCTCTGACATAATGCAGTCTCTCTCACCTGTTCCTCTTTATCATATTAAATCATTTGTAAAAAAAAATAATAATAATTTTAGTGAAATGAAATCAGTACAAGTCTGCAAATATAGTCTGATTCACAAAGTGGTTAGATTGGTTACTGTGGCTCTGGTTCAGACCACCCAGAGATTTCGTAATGCATCCCGCAAATGTGCGAGTCTTTGATAGATATTAGTTGGTACAGGAGGCAGTAAATGAGTTGACCTTTTCGGACGGCAATGGAGAGTCTGAGCTTTGTTACAGGACAGAGAGGAGTAGAAACACTGTAGCTCACGCTATGCTGATGAACTCACATGCATGTAATGAATTGCAGTGCCATTATGCAAATACTATGCTAATTATCTAATCAGATTTGATTCCATTAAGGATGTACCCAGCTTCCTAATCTTGAGAAGGCAGGGACTGATCAGCATACTCTTTCTAAATTTGTTTCTTCTTTTATTTTCTTTTTTCTTTTCTTTTCTTTTCCAGACATTTTTCTTATTTTTTCGAATCCTTTCTTTTTTTCTTGCCTGTTTTGTTTTCAAGAATTTTTCTTCTTTTTT